AAAAAAAAAAAAAAAAAAAAAAAAAAAAAAAAAAAAAAAAAGCACTTTAAATTAAATGTCAACGTCGACGTTACCGATTGGAGGATTAAGAAAGTTATACAATATTTTACAAACGTAAATGTCATTATTCACGGTTCCGCTTCATCTGTTAATAAAAAAAACGTTCTGATCAAACACACACACACATACACATACGAACGTATGATAAATACATTGACACACACTAAGAGAGAGAAAGACAACCCTGTTGAATTTCCTGTGTGAAATGAAAGTCGAAGATTGACCCCGAAGAAGGTTTCTCTTTTATTACTATACACACCTGCCGTCTTCGAGGAAGATTTTTTTTGTTTTCACAGATCTTTCAATGAGAATCTCATCAACGAATGATAATATTTTATTTATATATATAATAATAATAGTAATAATTAAAAAAAAGAAAATCAAACACGAGAAAATTTTTTGATCGTTGCATTTCATTTGGTTTATTTTCGTTTTTTTTTTTCTTCTGATTGTTTAATTTTTATTTTACAGGCAATGGCGGCGAATTTTATTAATTCGACAACGATACTAATCAACGACGTCTACGATTATTATCTTTGGACTCTCTCTTTGGCAGGTAATATTCACATTCGCATAATTAATTATGTTTTTCTTATCTTTTTTTCTTTTTTTTTTTCTTTCGATTAATTAACGTCAATCTTTCATTATTACGTATTATTATTATTATTATTTCGTGAAATTATATTCAAGATAATATAATTCATCGTGTAAATGATTAAATTTTTTAATTGATTTTCAAAATTCGTATAAAAACTTCCTGAAAAAAAAAAAAGAAAAAAGAAAAAAAAATCTAATATAAAATTATTAATCAAAAAATGAATTTTAAATGAATTTTGATTAATTTAATATTAAACCTACAGCTTCCTATAATTTATATATATATAGAAAAAAAATGCATTAATAAATAAAATTAAAATGATTATAAATTTTTTTAAATGATTAGATGAAAGAACGAGAGGATGGTTGCTAGTCGATTCACCAAAACCAACTTTAATATACACGATGTTGTATTTAATGATTGTTTGGGCTGGACCAAGGGCTATGAAAAAACGAAAAGCATTTAAACTCACTTGGGCTCTCGTCCCTTATAATCTTGCCATGGCTTGTTTAAATGCATACATTGCAATACAACTTTTCGTTGCATCTACGAGGTTACGATATAGTTATGTGTGTCAACCGATTAGACATATAACGCGTCCTGACGAAATGCAGGTAAGAAATCATTTCAAATAAACACACACACATTATTTGTATAATTTATTTAATTAATTAAATATTATATTTGAAAAAAAAAAAAAGAATTAAATTCTATTATTTTAAGATACTTGTGTAATAATATTTTCCGATTATACGAAAATATTTATTTTTCTTTTAATTATTACAACATTTCATTTTTTTTTTTACCAAACATCTGCAACTTTCAATGAAATATTATTATTATTATTATTAGAAAATAATTTAAATATTTTGTTTTTACATTTCGAGAATGTCACATCGTAATAATAATAATAATTTTACTCGATTCAAAAAGTAGAGAAAAAAAAATATGAAAAATTAACGAATAATTAGAGAACACCCATTTAAAACAATAGGAAAATCTCATGAATAATATAATTATTTATATATAAGAATATATAAAAAAAAATAGTAATGTATAATTTCGCAGATCGCGCACGCAGTATGGTGGTATTATTTCAGTAAATTATTAGAATTCTGTGACACCTTTTTCTTCATATTACGTAAAAAAGATAATCAATTGAGTTTCCTGCACGTTTATCATCACTCAACGATGTTCTCACTTTGGTGGATCGGAATCAAATGGGTTCCAAGTGGATCCAGTGAGTATTACCAAAAAAAAAAAAAAAAGCAACACAAAAAACAAAAATAAAATAAATCCTCTTCCTTCCTGTATTTAAATACTTGCTTAAATATTCTTCAAAAATATTTGACGATTTATGTTAATAACGGGACACCTTTTTACGAAATGTCTACTTAACGTCAAATAACATCTTTCATCATATTTCAGCTTTTTTACCAGCCATGGTAAACAGTTTCATCCACGTGTTAATGTATTCCTATTACGGATTGGCTGCTTTGGGCCCAACAGTTTCGAAATATCTTTGGTGGAAGAAATATTTGACGATTCTTCAATTGATCCAATTTACAACTGCTTTGATACTCGGTATCAATGGTATTCGTTCGGGTTGCGATTTTCCACTTTGGATGCAATACGCACTTGTCATTTACATGATCTCATTCATCGTTCTATTTGGAAACTTTTATGCTAAGGCCTATATCGCCAAGGTGAATATATTTTTTTTTAAATAACATCATTAATATATATATATATATAAATTATATATAAATATTTTTATAT